ATGCAATGTTTAGATATAGGTTAATTGGAAATCAATGATGCCTTGTCACATTTTTTTTAATCTTCCTGTAATGTATTAGTTCCCTTAGTTACTGATTTTGTTCTACACCTGTTTCTATAGTTAAGTTAATCATTATCCCCTGTGTGTATGTATATAGACTGCCAACCATGGATGACGGTGTTGGAACAAAGTCATTCGACCATCTGACCCCTGATGTACGGCAAGTTCCTCAATGCCAAATCATCAATTCGATTCACTACCTGGAACGTTCGGACATTATACCAAACCAGCAAATTGGTGCAACTCCTGGGAGAATTCGATCACTATCATCTTGACATCCTCAACATAATTGAGGCCCGTTGGATGGCCAGTGGAAAGTTTATAAGTGACGATAAGACCTTCATATATTCTGACCACGCCTGCAACCATGTCCACGTTGTGGGGATCGTCCTATCCCGCTGAGCGGCATCGAGCCTACTCTGTTGGCAACCTGTGTTGGACAGAATCCACACAGCTGCAAGGCACGTATGCGAAGCTGACCTTTGTCTATGCGCCAACGGAAGATGCTCCGTCGCAGATAAGGACTCTTTTTACGACGACTTGCTACTTGAGCTCAACCGTATCCTGCACCATGACCTTGTCATCGTTGCAGGTGATCTCAACATTCAGATCAGCAAGGCAAGGCAAGCGTTTGATCATGTGATTGGCCCCCATGGTTCGGTGACTGAAACCAATGACAATGATATGCGACTCCTGACTTTTTGTGCTGCACAAGGACTCGTGGCCAGGAACACATACTATCCTCACAAGCGGATCTACAAAGTTACGTCAAAAGCCCCGGGCGCCCAAGAGGTGTGCAACTAGATCGACTATGTCTCCGTCTCTAAGCGTTGGCACTTGTCCATCCTCGATGTGCAAAGTTATTGAGGTGCCGATGTTGGTACTGACCATTTCCTGCTCATCGCAACCTGCTGACTCTGATTCAGTGTTAATTTCGTCAACGAAGACGACGAAAAATATTCGTTAACGAACATTTTTTCTGACTAAGACGAGACGTTGACGAGCTAAAACTAATATCTGATGATAAAAACTATGACGAAATTTATGCCACGTCTTCGTTAACAAGACTAGATGGGACTATAATGTTATTTGAGGACTACCGGACATTCAAAATACATCCTATAGGCTACTGTCTTGTCCTTCAAAATGTTCGTCCCTGTCATTGGATTGCAATCGGATAAGGGGCATTTGCATATCTTGTCTCAGTATGGCAGCCACAGTATGGCAGCCGCAGTGGATGGATATGCTACAAAATGCGAACTAGCGATCTGAAACAATGGCCTCAGCACCCGAAGGGGTAGGGATAAGGTGACCAGACTTCCCGTTTTTCCTGGGAGTCACAATTCGTTGTCAATCAACTTAAAAGTTAGTGATGGCGGGATAGGCGAAATCGCGCTGATAGGAGTGCTCCCTCGCGCGCACGCACCACTTCTTCAGTTCTCATATACAGCGCGCGATCAGTTCTCAGTGCTCAGATACACACACAGCAGTCCAAATGTCTATCGTGTAGAGTATCTCACGTAAATACAGTCCGTTATGGATTAAGTAAACGTAAACAGGTGGGTGAAAAGTAATCGTGAAAAAAGCCAGGAAATTTCAGTTTTCACAATATGGGACCTTTAAAGGGACAGCATAAGTACCTATCCATGTCATTAATGTTAACCAACAAAAGATGTTTAATAAATATGTTAAATCTGAAAAATTAGTTTAATTTGTATCTCTTTCGTATTTGTCTTATTGCCTTATTCTGCTTCTTTTTCAAAGATTATAAATTATATATATTATATATGAACAACTATAATTTTGTATAAATTGCTCCCTTTTCACTACTGTTAAATGATAGTTCACACAAAAATGAAAATTGTCATCATTTATTCAAGTTTTTCCAAATTCAATCCTTGATTCAAATTTCTCATAAGCTTAATATTAAGCATTTTCGTCTCAAGATAAAAACTAAGACTAAATCAAAAATGCCTGTCAAAATTAACACTGCTCTGATTAAAATGCTTGCCAGCCCGTGGCCAGTGACCTCAACTTTTTGATGTCGTACAACTCCGAGACCCGGTTGTATTGCAGCAGTACAATGCTGCCGTCCGGAATCGTTTTGAACTTTTCGCCCCTACAAACGACCTGGATTCCCACTCGGACCAATTCCGAGATACCATGGTAACCGCCGATGAGGCACCTTCAGGGAATGCTGGATCCAACCTCAATCATGGCCGTTGATTGATGAAAGGCGTCATTTGAAGCAAGTCCGGGAACAAAGAACATGTAGACACGGCGCACAAAGCATCGGAGACGAAGTATAGGGACTTGGATCGGCAAGTAAAGCAAAACTGCCGAAGTGACAAGAACGAGTGGGTCAATCGGAAAGGGACAGAGGCACAAGAAGCTGCAAATCGAAACGACACGTGCATGCTATACTGTATCGTTTGAGAGCTCACCGGCTCCCCAAATTTCTTCGCAATCGAAACTGGTGTACAACAAGGTTGCGTGCTTGCACCGATGCTATTCTCCTCGTCATCGACTTCGTCGGCCGGCACTCCATCGACTGCCTACACATCAGCATACCCTGGACAGGTGGCAACCTCCTCCTTCCCGATGATATTGTCATTTTTGGCCTGACTGAAATTGCCCTACGAGATCTCACTACGGCTCTAGAAAATCATGAGGCCAGCGCAGGACTCCGAATCATTGGACAGAAGACCAAAGTTATCCGCATCGGTAATGCAAACTCGAGAATCCCAATTACCATCGGTGGACAACAGGATCTTTGTGCCGACAGTGACCTACGTGTGTGAAACCTGGAAGATGACAGAAGCCATCGCTTGAAAGTTGGACGTTTTCCACCTCCAATGTCTGTGACGCATCCTTAAGATCACTTAACAGGACCATGTTATGAACGTGGAAGTATACCTTCGGGCCAATGCATGGCCCCTCTCCTTGAACATCACAGATTGCCGCTTTCGTCTCGATGGACACATCTTACACCTCCCTGACCATCGGCTACTCAAGACAGCAATATTCTGGCAGCCTGCACAAGGCAAACAAAACGTGCCAAATAACGCCGGTGGAATTAAGGTTAAGATAGATAGATTTATAAGCCTTATTTCAAAAAAACGTATTTTATTTTGTTTCAAAAATGTAAAATCTCCTATAATGAATGAAAAATAAAACAACACATAGTATTTAGAATGACAACCAGAGGTTGACAATCAACATTTTCTGAAGGTTAAGCACGTCTTTTCACTGACAATTTATTAAGAAAAAAGTTTTAGGCCTTATTTTGTATCCTCTTCGTGAAAAGTACCAACTATTATAAACACAAAGGAAATTCATTTACACTCATCACTGCGCCCATTGGGCTGTTTAGTTTGTCAGACATCAATATTTTCCTTTGTCTTTGATCTGAGCCCTCTAAGGGGTCTTTTCTGAACAATAAATGCATTGTTTTTACCTGTTGTCCATGACCCTGTCAGTACAGAACACAACCCACCAACTGAGATCCATTTAACTAGATGGATTTCCTCCACAGCCAGGAAGAAATGTGTCACATCCTTCACACAATTCTGTTACCAAGACTACTGACAGACTTTCTTCAGAACCGTTGAGACAATAAGCACTTTTCCATCATCCAATGGCATTACCAGTGGCATTTCTATTAGAACACATTTTGGTACAGAGCAAATACCAACTGTTCCATGCGTAGATTTTTCAGTATGGTCGACTAACCAGGAGAACCATGCTGGTGAACACACCAACCCTCGAATGGTAACTTTTCAGTTGCTAATATAACTTACAAAAATAAGTGATTATCAGTAGCATTCTGGAAACAAGTATCATTTTTGCAATTTGTTGCAATGATGCAGAAATCACACACCACAGCTTTACAAGGATAGTTCACCCAAAATATCTTCTTTCATGTTCCACAGAAGAAAGGGAGTCATTCAGATTTAAAATGACATAAAGGTGAAAAAATGATAACAGAATTCTCATTTTGGGATGAACTATGACATTAGGAAAATCTGTTAAGCAAGTTAATAATCTAAATTACATTACGATACAGAACCCTGCCATTAATATACTCAACAAATTGTGCATCTTTGAATATACACTAAACAGTCTTCAGTTAGCAAAACACAATGCAACTGTCCCTATGTGATGCAGTGTAACATAGGAGTCAGATCTTTAAAAATAATGTACCACGTACACAAGCCCTACACTAATCCTAACCGATAGTGTTAACAAAAGCAAACACACATTTGCTAAAGTAACCATGCCAACTTTAGTTTGCTTATACAAGTCTATGAGCTCTTTCGTGCCTTGTTTTTACAGGACTCGTACCCGAGTGCTCTGCATCGCAGGTTTAATGCTATATCAGGTGAGTTACGTAAAGAGCAAATTCACTATGTCAGAAAATCCATACATATGAAGCTGGTTAGATGATACAAACATCACAATGTATTATGTTTACAAATGACACACTATGGTAGAAGTTTTTTGAGGGGTAAATGTAGCATTATGCAAAACAAGTGGTTATTAATCAATAATCTGCCCCTATTATCATAATTTGTGTAAAATAGAATAAAAGTTGTTGGTGTTTTACTGCCACTAGTGTTTATTTCAGCTGGGAACTAAAGTAAATTGAATGTATCGGTACATTATTGAAGTTTTGGGGGTGGGGGGGAGTAGGTAAAGGCATGTTTTTCCAATGAGCCTGTGTTGGAAGAATCAGAAACATTAATGGCGATTGCACCACCCCAGTCCCTATCTTCTCTCCTCTCAGAAGCATGCACATCCTTATTACCCATAGGTGAGTGACATCAACTGGCCTGTGCCTCTGTCAGTCAGTACTATCCCTAACTATGTACCTAATATACCCAACACTATAGTGATGAAGCTGCCCTGAACATGTTTTCTATCTCTGCATGTATACTCACATTATGTGCCTTCCACAAGGTTTGAGTATCCTTGTCTTGGTGCTCCGGTGACTCCTTGTCAGCCTCTGACCCCTGCAAGCAGTGGCACTGCATATCCTCTATTGGAGAAGACTATGAAAAATAGAAATAAAAATAATAAAAATAAAATGCTAAAGTAATGCTATACAACCAACTGGGTAACACTTTATAACAACTTTCATTAATAAATCATTAACAAACATTATATAATGCTTAATGGATCATTAGTTAATATTTATTCAGAGAGTCAAAAATGTGAGATAATGTGCTTGTTAATTTTTGCTAATAAACTTATTAAACATTAGATAATGTTCAAACAAATCATTATTTCATGTAAATTAAAAATGTTTACAAATGTCATTAAACCTTCAATTCCATATGATCAAGCATTTATTGAACATCTACAAATGATTTTAACAGATGTTATAAAATGATTAAAAGCTTTTTGCTGCTGTGATACGGGTAAGGTTAGGGACAGGTTTGGTGGTATGGGTAGGTTTAAGGGTTGGTTGAAGGTTCAACAGTGTACAGGGGTCAATTTGATTATTATAAGGGAACACTGTTCAATCTGTTTATATTATATTGTTTTGATAAATAATTTCTCAATTATTTTCTTTTAAAAATTATTTGTTTTCCCCTGTTTATTTATGATTCAAGGAATATCCTGTTTAATGATATACTGAAGAGTAGTATACTAATGTGAGTGTTGAGGCAATAAAAACTTTTTTTTTGCACCAAAATTACAATCTGTTATGTCTTTAGCAAGCATTTAGCTAAACTTAACCAGCCACTCTTTACACAAACCTTGTTACATTAGCTAAAAGTCCAATACCCATAAAGATATTAGATGATTAGTAATCATTTATAAACATTTACAAATGCCGAATAGTTTCCACTTTAGATTGGGTACTGCAAAACACAAACAAATAATTCATAGATTATTTGTTAAGATGTGTAAATAGAGGTCTACACAACAAACAAAAGACCAACAAATGAAGATCATATGAACTGAAAGTTTACTGACATTTGTAAGCATTTCAATTTACATTAAATAATCATGTTAATCATTAGGTGATGTTTAGTAAGTTCATTAGTAAACATTAACAAGAACATTATCTCATATTTCTAGCTATGTGAATATATATATTAACTAATGATCTGTTAAGAATTATATAATGTTTGTTAATGATTTATAAATGAAAGTTATTATAAAGTGTTACCATTAACAGTATAATTAACAGCATACAAATGAAACACAGGTCTCATCACATCTGTTTGTTTTTCCGGGAACTTTCACAATAGATTACAACACACATTACAATACCCCAAAATCAAAAGAAATACATTTTGCTATTTAAAAAAATGAATCCTATTTTAACACAGTTAAGCTGTTTTGGTATTGTGACAGCATGATAATTATAACAATTATGACAGTTAAGCAAAAATGATGTAGTATTTAAATACTATTACTATTGATAGATTATTTGCAGAGTATATGTGGTATAATCTAATATCAATATGTGGTAAAATCTCTGACAATAATAGGAATTATAAAATAAAAATAAATAGAATAAAAGTGTTTAATGAAAATGTCACAATACAATAATAATTGCTTAAGCTAAAAAAAATATTTGCCTAAAATTAGCTTCAATTTTTAGAGAACTAAAAATGATGAGGAAAAAATATTTCATTGCATGTCTGCCAATATAATTTCCTACAACATAATATATTTACTTGTTGCTTTGATAAGAAAATGTATGAAAAAAATAGCGTTTATGCATGCAAGAGTTTGATTTTGTAATTAATAATCAGTTCAACACTACCTGTTTCAAGACCGATTAATTTACATTTAGTAACAACATGATTTTATTGTTACTACTTCATTTACAATCTCTTTACAAGTTCTTTACTTACCATAGCACATCTCATTATAAAATAGCATGCTAATAATATAGCATTTTAAGACTTTTTCTCAGAACTGCAGTTTTCTGACCAGGGGCGCGGGAAGATGTTTTCGGTTGGGGGTGCTGTGTGTGTCCGTGTTGGGTGAGGGGTGCGGGGGGGGTCACCTTACTGGGAAATTTGACTGCATATCACATTTTTGAAATTATCGATAGTCTACTGTTTGCAGTCATAATACAATGCACGGGTGTACGGTAAATAAATTAAGCCTTTAAAGAAAAGCCATTGGGCTGTTGTTTCCATTGTCGTTTACAATAAAATGACCTGCACAGTGAAATTAAAATACAAATGAAAAGTGCCTACCTTAAATAACCCCGAACGTGGATTTGCGCTCAGCAGAGGAGCGGATGAATTCTTTCATCATGTCTTGAATGTTTACGCTGTCCAAAATGTCTCCGTGAACATGAAGCAATGCCAGATGAGTAAGCCACCTCTGAGAAACAGTATTTCGAAGCCACATTTTGAGACGACGAAGTGCTGAAAATGATCTCTCTGAAGAAGCGGTTGACACAGGTAAACATAAGCATAACTGGACGAGCTTTTCCACCTCCTTGAAGAGTTCCATAGTTTGCGAATGCAGTTTTGACAAAAAATGACCAACTTCGTGAATAGTATTAAACTTTTAGAGTTTTGTGAGACCACTCAGCATCTTCAGCTGCAGATGCAGGGCCGCAACGTCGATGTTGCTAGGCAGCAGCAAAGAGTCCAGGTCATTCTCTGTGATCATTTTCCCCTTCACAGCATCCAAAAGTATCTCTTCCCTCCGTGCAGCAGTTGTCATCCCGCTCTGATCAAATCTACGTTCAATTTCCGACCTCACAATGTCCAGTGCTTCATAAAATTTGCTTCTCCACAGTGCTTCACCGTTTTCAGATAAAACATCCTCAGCCGCTGTTGTGTTGCGAAAACGAGATGGTGTTGTATTTTTTCTGCTGGGGCCAGGCATTTTGAGATTGTTTGCAGCTGCACATGCTTTTGTTCTGGTCATAATCTCTTCCACAAAGTTTTCATCTCTTAGTGCACAAATGCATCCTTTTAGGGTCTTTACACACTCCAGTGCCCCAGCAGCACTTGCTTGCTCACTCTGAAGGGCTTTTGCCACAGCCTCACAAGGGCTAAAAAGTGCCTTGCAACACAGAAGGCCAAAAAATGTTCTGCCTTTTCTGGCTTGCTTTAGAAGCCCCGATATTTTTGCCCGCGCTTCAACACGAACACTGCGGTCCTGCTGAAGTGTATCTAAAGTTTGCAAAACAGGGCAGTAGGCATGAATTATTCTTGATATTGCCTTAGCTCTGATACACCACCTTGTCGGATACAGCCTGAGTATGTTTGTGACATCCTGCTCGCCGAAGAATGACTCAAAAATGTTTTTGCGCTTTGCTGACTCTCTGATAACTGTTGCGATGTTCTGAACAAAGTGCAATGCATCAGCTACCAAACGCACCTCCCGCACGAGTTCCTGCAGCGCCAGATCTATTGAATGGTTGCAGCAATGCACAAATAAATAGCCGGGACAAATGTTTTTAAGACGTGCTTGCACCCCAGCAAGGCGAACAGACATATTTATGTGCGCCATCAAAACAATACCCTTGCAGTTTTTCCAAAGGGAGATTTAAACGCAAAAACACGTCTTTCACACAGGAAAATTACGTTTCAGATGTAGTGTCTGGTACGTTATAAAACCCTAAGAATGCACTTTGCTGTACGAGGTGTAGCGAATCAGCTCATGGGGAAATATGAATAATTAATCATAACTAGTTATAATTAATTATAAATGTTTAGATCCGCTGTAGATATTTACTTGACCTCTCATGGTCAACTGTCTGTCAATTCTAAGAACATTAATTTCCTGGTTAAGGGAAATAACTTTCTTACTGTACAATTCTACACAGAGCTTGTAGCATAAATCTGCATGATTAAGTGACTCCAGTTATGAGCAAACAATGAACAACGTCAAGTGTGATACAAGTAAGACTTTATTAACTACATAAACACTTAAACTAGTCTAACATACTACATAAACACTTAAACTGGTCTAACATACACTACACACACCCTAATTGTTAAAGCTATTTCTTAGCCTAAGATAAAACTATGCTAAGTCGTGTTAGCTTAGCTGATTAAGGTGGTTTGTTTACAACATGGCGTCGCCAGGTGACGCACGTGCTCTGTGGAGTTAGCGCTTCCTGTGACAAGTTGTTGTCACGGTAACCAATGCATGCCAGTGCAATTCAAGCAGTTTAGTGTCTGCCTA